GTCGTGCGACACGTTTATTTCTTATGTAAACGGCCACAGTCATGAAAATGATGTGCATCTTGTGTCACTATTCGTATTTGAAGGATTGTCCTCTTAATATCGTTTGAGACGTTCATTATGGAATGTGACAAAATATATCGTGATCGTATTACTCATAAATGCTTTAAGGACTTATGCAAATCTTAAAATTGTCTTCGTTGTTCTTATTTTACAAGTGATCAATTTAAATTCAATGTGAATTTAAAATATTTCGTAATTTCACCATTGCTCTATAAAGCAAAATAAATAATTATTTCAATTTTTATACTCATTATTATGGTTTTCATTTATATGTTTTTCTTATTTATTAGAATATGAATTACGTATTGCATTATGTATATTTCATTGTTGATCAACCTGAATAAATAAATAGCCTATCTTTATGAGCTATATAATTATCTAAACAATAGTTTTATATATTTTTTTTTTTTTTTGTAATAAAATATAGTTGCCGTGTAGTAATTATTGGAAATTAAATAAGTCTTTACAGAAATATTAGAACTTTGTTCCCTACGCAAAATGTGTAAATCATAAACAAATAACGCAATAGTATCGATGTAATGAGTTAATCATTATTATCATTTAAAGTTTATTGTAAGTAGAAATGCCTATACTAAAACCGACGCGTGTACTGAGCACTTATTGGCAGTTAAATTGACCTTTGATCTTTTAAAGAGTATTACTGTATATTCTGATATAAATTATGATTATTGATATTTATTAACGATAACTAGCTACGTCACTATCATAAAGTTGTTGAACTTACTATTCATAAAAGATGAGTTATTTGTTTTTATATTAACCACAAGAAGAGATCATCCTAGGTCTATAGTTCTTGCTTTATTCAGTATTTTCTTTTTGTTTTTCAATAATCAATTTCTTTTTTCTACGCTTAAATTATAACAAACATTAATGTTTTGTTAGTAATGTCGTCAAGTCTTCTGGTGCAGTGATCGCAGCGTGAAATACCACGAAGGTCTTACATAATGTCTATAATAGTATCAAAAACAAAAAAATTATTTATAAAAGCATAATGATCATCCATAAAGCGGACGATGAGAGTTTTTAATGGAATTTCAATGTTTCATTTTATCTGATGCTTATTCGACCCATTGTTGTCTTTCGTGGAGTCACCTCAACACATACACTCCATACTACGTGTTATGTTCTATCTAAGATAGATGAGTCNAATGTTCTATCTAAGGTAGATGAGTCTGCGGGTGGGCGAAAAACTGTACTAACACCAAGTACTGTTGACTCCCACAACGTTTGATTGTGATAATATTATTGAAAACACACTTCGAAGTGAATTTTCTTTATTTGATCGATCGTCAAGTTCGAGTTATTTATCATTTATCGTTGTTCATTATTACCCGGTGGTACTCGCGTATCTTGGATCAAATATTGTAAATACAATCGGACATAATGTATCGGAATCGTTTTTCTTCTCAAACTTAGTCTGAGGTCAAATGGAACTTTTCTTGGCATGACATGCGGCGACGGTATTTTGATCTTTTGACACAATATCGTAAACTACAACAAGCTGACCTTATGCAGTACTGCTACATTTAAGAAACCGTGTCAATTAAATTATAGTTATTACAGTACTGCCTACTCTTAAAATTTACTGAAATTCTGGCACATGGATTTACGTTTGTAATAATATGCTTAAGGGACGATGAGACTATTGAGTTATGTTCGTGAAGAGACGAGAAAATTATACGTAACAAACAATGTCGGACGGCTATTGTTTCAAATCGTGTGGTTGTCTCCATGATAATAATATTTTGTGCGTGGGCAATTAAAAACTAAGAAAAAAACATGGAGAAATATTGTCATATCCTGGCTGATGTTGGCACGTACCAATTAATTCCAGATGTTCGTTGTGTTATACGAGTTACATGCTCTCTTCTCTATACCAAGTGGTCTATAAAAACGCACGCATTACAATACAGGTGAACAATACGTTTGAATGATCAGAAGAAGTTTATGGCTCCTGTCAGACCAGGAATATTATTTCCATCAGACTAAATTCATTTTTTTTCTGCTGTTTTTATATCATCATTATTCTCAGGTAAAATCCAATAACACGGTATGACATGTCTCAGATGTTGTCAGATATATCTTATTCATAAAAAAGGATTAGAATATGGACTTCATACATTTTTTTAAGTGAATACTAATTTTAGGGTTGGTTTTTACTGGTTATTATAATTTTATTGATTAAAATGAAGGGTTGGTTAGTTATTTTTTTGAAAATAACAACTCGAGAAACTTATTATTAGAAATTATTTGTTACTATCAACACATCTGTTGTTCAATGAATTTTTTTCCGCTTAATGCGTAGCTACTTGCATTTACTAAATAGGCATTGGTATTTTTATTATATTGTTCTCGTTAAAATGTGGCATCTAGACTTGAGCGTTTAACACGAGTGAAATCTAGATTGTTCTTAGACTCATTTCTCATAACGAGCAAACCTGTCAACTAGAGGTCAACAAAACAATGATGTATTGGGTCTGGCGCAGTAAACGTCAAAATTATAAAATTGTTAATACTGGAAAATTCAACTACCGATGTTGTTTACAACACAAAGAGTGGGATGCTATGAAAAACAAAAATTATACGCCCTCTGTCAGGTAATCCGAATTTTTTTTGCAACCGGTTCAAATGAAAATAAAAATTACAAATACCCACTGGCTAGTAATATTGAGTTTCACTACACCAGACAACAGCAGCTGCTGTCGAAGAGAAATATTCATAGTACTCCTATATAATTTTATGCTAAAATTTACAGATGACATTTTACATGTAATTTTCCGGGAACCCACGAATTAAAATAAATCATTTTTTGTCACCTATATAATTATGATAATTAATCCATCATCACACTGTCGCTACTACTATTGTTATTTATAAATAGCAATTAAATATTTTTATACAGTAAAAATTATAACTTACGACTGTATGAAATCGACGTTATTTTGTCATATTACTTAATAATTTTAAATCGGATCATTCAAATTATAAATTAAAAAAAAAGTTTAACTATTGTAATTTATTACTGGTTTTCGAAAATTGTCTTTTCTCTATAAATTGTATTGCATCTTAACGAGCTTTATAAAATTTAAATTTCAATACTATTAGATCAACGAATTATTTAATAAGAAAAAATTAACAATAAATCAAAACATGTACTGTAGAAACGTTTCTTATTAGTCAAAAGTGAATTCAACGCCAATTTGTACAACTGTTATTAAAACCTTACCGCAGTAGTTTAAAGAGATCTCTTTCCGGAACATGTAACAAACGTTATTTTTATGTGTATAATTTTATAGCTGCTGTTGTATCTACTTAAAATATTTGTATACTATCGTCAATCCATTCACTTGTATGATAAAGTCAAGAATAATCCGCGGACGACGCACCTTTTTTGTGAAGTACTAGGAACGTATAAAATACAGTACGCACGTAGGCTGCTGGAAAAAATACAAATATTTTNACGTATAAAATACAGTACTCACGTAGGCTGCTGGAAAAAATACAAATATTTTTGTTGATTTGCTCATACGAAATCTTGCAACATATTAGGCGTTGGTCATATAGGTGCAAACTGCATTATTAAATTTGACCTTTTATAATGAAAGCTGTGTTGCTTACTAGTAATGATTTTTGTTTAATTTTTGATAAAGATTTTTCAAGATTCCAGGAGTTGACATTAGCGAGTAATGGGATTTGTACACATTAAGTGTGCGATAATTTAATTAGATTAATTGTTCCATCCTAAAGCAATACATATTTGTAATTACCATGTATTATTAATTATGTTTAACATTATGAACTTATGTTACAAATTACCTTAACAAACCTGTCTTAAAAGGGCATTTTGTATATCGAGGAAACTTTATTTTTAGACTCCCTTTCATTAGTAAATAAATAAAAATGTTTTTGATGCTTAAAAAAGCATTTCCGTTTGTAATAACACAGGACACACTGTTACTACTCTCAAATAATAGGGTTGATCAGCTTCAAGTGCAAAAGGCATGTGTAAACCAAATGTAATATGTATAATCAGTTAAGTTTTTCTCTACTAATCTGTTTTANTCAAATGTAATATGTATAATCAGTTTAGTTTTTCTCTACTAATCTGTTTGAAAAAATAATGAAAAGCCAAGTTCTATAGCGGCTGTTTGTTTTCCTCCACCTGGATTATTTTTTATTTCCGTGGTCGGGGCTGCAGATGGTTTAAATCCGACCAGCATCGACGCCTACGTATACATTTTACTAGGTCCCATTTCGAATTCATTAGGAATCGACGCGACGGTAAAATTTTTCATCCTATGTGGCAATTATCGGGGCGGTTAAGCTGTTTATTGTTGGCTCATCTGGAACGATAAAAGAAAATTATTGTTTCTCATTTATAGGCGTATTCGATTATGTTAAATTACATTTAATACGCATCCAACATATGGTGACTTTTCGTTGATGTTTCTACCACCACGTGATTTCTTTACACCACAGCGATAAGTGCTGAGTATGTACCATTATTATTTGTCGATAAATCTATAAAAAAATGAATACATGTTTATGTAAACCAGTTTGCTTGGTGTGATTTCTTTCTGTTTGCACCTACGCGATGGCGCCTAGCTGGTCAACCCGTAATTGTCGGCGCCGTTTGGAATTTCTTTAATTACTTGTCTGAGGCAAAATTCGGGTGTATTATTTTGGAAGTTTCAGACGTATTTTTTCGTGAAAAATTTATTGCCGTTGTCGTGAGAGTTGTTAGTTTGAAAGGAAAAAGTACAACATAAGTTAAACGCACATATGTTGACGGCTTTATTCGTCCTTGCCGTATATTCTTTCATTTCATCAAACCATTTTGCTTGTAAAAATATTTTAAATAACACACTTAATATAAAGCAGCAGACGAGGTCATGAGTATATATTTTTTTTATCAACAGAGATAACTTATACCGCCTGGACCTGGACGGTTTAAAGAAAATTGAAGCGACTCGATGGCCGGCTACAGAAGATAAGGTACAACTTTGTTTGATAAAAGGCCAAAGCGTAGATGATTGTCGTAATTACGTTAAGGTGCTTTTGGCAACTGGTAAAAAGTTGTTCGTATGTGGTACTGGAGCTTTTTCACCCCAATGCACGTGGCGAGAGGTAATTCATAGCACAATATACAAATAAATACAACCTGTTACTTGAAATTTTATATTTTATTTATTTATAAAATTAAAATATTTTTCTTATAGATGGAAAATACTACTAATATCATTGAAGCAGTTCGAGGTGTAGGTAAATGCCCGTACAGTCCCTTATCAAATATTACAGCGATGATAACTCTAAACGGTCAATACTTTGCCGGTAGTCCAATGGACTTTTCAGGCGCGGACTCAGCTATAGTACGAGATTTGGGTGCTACATATTTGCGCACCAAAAACTATGACTCCAAGTGGCTGAATGAACCGCAATTTGTCGGATCATTCGAGACGGACGCCTACGTTTACTTTTTGTTCAGAGAGAGTGCTGTGGAGTACATTAACTGTGGTAAAGTACGTAATTCCTTAGCAATATTTTTTACTTTATTTTTGTATGCAAAGTTGAAACAACCGCTCGCGTAGGTATCGTTGTCACTATTGAAACATATGGTCGTACATAATTGACAAGTCAAAGACTGTATAGTGTAAGGTAATTGTATTTTATCAATAATGAATCTCTTTAAACCATATGGTTTCTTTATTTAAAATATAAAATAAAGGAAGCTTCGATTATATTACGCGATATTATTAAAACGATTTTTTTCAAATTAATTAACTAATCAATTAATGTAATGTTAAGATTAAACGATAACGATAAACGATTATGTTATTTGAGATAGCTCTATACTGTAATAAATATCTGTGCTAGTGACAATTGTACTTACGATTTATTTTTTTTTTTTTATTAAGATTTTAAATGTAAACAATTAGTTATGATACATTTCTTTGTTAATTTAGAGGGTTTATTCGAGAATAGCAAGAGTATGTAAGAATGATGTAGGAGGACAAACTATGATGCGTGATAATTGGACGACATTTGTGAAAGCTCGTCTGAATTGTTCCCTTCCCGGCGAATATCCTTTTTATTTTGACGAAATTCAGGGTATGACTTACCTACCGGATGAAGGATTAGTGTATGCTACGTTTACAACACCAAGGTAATTACATATTTAAAAAATGTGCTCTACAATCATCAGAGAACTAATGTTACGATTAAATTGTTTAATGTAGTAATGGAATTGCCGGCTCAGCAGTGTGCAGTTTTAGTTTAACTGCTATTAATGCCGCCTTTAATGGTCCATTTAAACACCAAGCGACAGTCGATTCAGAATGGGCTCGGTATACTCCTCCAAACCACCAACCTAATCATGGTCAATGTCAAAGACAAGACCCTAATCAAATACTCGATTCTTCTAGGTAATTAAAAATTATAATTTTAAATATGGTTTAAAAAATTAACAATGACAGACAAACTGCAATACTTTTGATTTTATTACTTATAATATGTATGTATTATTAAAGGTATCAATTAATGGATAATGCAGTTCAACCTACAACATTAGAACCATTATATTATAAACCATTGGAAATTTTAACACAAATTGCTGTAGACGTTGTGGCAACTAAACCACATGGCACATTAAAAGTTTTATACTTAGCAACTTCATCAGGGACAATAAAAAAAATTACTATTTTACCCAAAACGTCTGTAACGTGTACTTTAGAAGAATGGAATCTATTTTCCGAAGGTTTTGATTCTCAAATAATGGCCTTGCATTTTATAAAAGTCACTGTACGTTTGTTTTCACTTTTGATAAATAATAAAAAAAAATTATTATGACTATTTGTATTATTATTATATGATTCAATGAACTTTTTCTGTATAGGAATCCATATATGTCGGAACTAAAGATCGAGTTCTTAAGATACCAGCTCAACATTGTGGAAGACACAGAAGCAAGGAAGCGTGTATGAACGCAATGGATCCCTATTGTGGATGGAATGAACACGTTGATAAATGCCAACCTCCTACAAATGGTAATATACTGGAACATAGTTGGAGGCAAGACGTTACTAAGTGTCCAGATCGTTCAAGACCTGTAGATGGAGGGTGGTCTAGTTGGTCAGCTTGGTCACAATGCATACAAAATATCAACGGCAAAGACTCTGCAGACCAATGTTTATGTTCTAGTAGGTCGTGCAACAATCCTGAACCTAAGTTTGGTGGAGCTGATTGCCAAGGATCAACAATTCAAGTATAATAAATTATTTATATGATTAAATAAATTGATAAAATATTGATACAATAGTTTTAATCTTTAAGTAAAAAAAAATTATCTAATTAAAGTTAATCAGAAATCGAATTTTATAATCATGACTGAAGTAGTGATTTTACCCGTAAGATACAATACATTAACAATTGCATTTTATATCAATCGATCTATAAAAAAAAGAATAATCGAAGAAAATTATTTTTTATTTGCGTGTAAAATTTTTAGTTAATACTCATTACTGCGAATAAAATATAAAAACAAGTTTTACCTTTGAACATAACTAACATTATTTACTTTTAATAATCGTACCAAGTAATCAAAGACATATTGTTCAACACGCACATATAAACCATGTGCACTTCATAGTAAATAAAAATAGGAGGTTATGGTTTTTTTGTTTACTATAATATAAAAATGTACTATTTAATTACTACCTCTTAATGAGTTGTGTGTTAGAATATTTAATAAAAGTAAAGTAACTTTTACATATATTTTAGATTNAATTTCTACCTCTTAATGAGTCGTGTGTTAGAATATTTAATAAAAGTAAAGTAATTTTTACATGTATTTTAGATTTTTAAAAAAAACATGAATTACAATTAAGATGTCATGATAAAATGAAACATTGGGGTGGATATGTGTTACAGAATTCTTTTTTTCATTTACATATTATAAATATTTAATAAATTTTTATGTTTCAGGTAACAAATTGTACTGTTCATGGACAATGGTCTAGTTGGTCAGATTGGTCAGCGTGCACGCAAAGCTGTGGATCCGCTGTGAAAGTAAGAAAAAGGACATGTGGTAACCCTGCGCCAGCGTTTGGCGGCCGTGTTTGTGTGGGACGTGATACGGAGGAGATATTTTGCCATTCAAATCCACCTTGTCCAGGTATGTACATTTTAAACCTACGTGAATAATTTCAAAATTAAATTATTAATTAAAATTTTCAAATATGATTTAATCAAAAATTGTAGTATAATTTAAAATTAAAAATATATTTGAAATATGGAACTTGAACTAAAAAATATATTATTAAAAAGCGCATTTTAGGACACAATGTACCACATGACTATGTTAACTATGTCCATTATTACCAATAAAATTAACAATAATTGTTAATTTTATTGAATTACAAAAAAAGATAAATGAAAAGCATTTTTAATAATTCATTCATTTATTCTACAGTTTTGCCACCAATTATAAAAGAACCTAGTTGGAGTTCTTGGGGACCTTGGAGTAAATGTTCGGCAAAATGTGGAGGTGGTTTCCGGCAAAGATCTAGATATTGTAACAATCCATCTCCTCGAGAAGGACAAGATTGTAGTGGGTGCTCAGAAGAATATGAACTTTGCAATCAAAAACCATGTGTCGAAAGTAAAAAGGTATCATCTTGGACTCCATGGATATCTACAGGAAATAGCACCCATAAGAGATTTAGGTTTTCATGTCGAACTCAACAAGACCAGACCTCAATTAGTATTATCCAAGATAAAGAAGAAAGCAAACTTTGTCAAGATGGAACATGTCATCGATTAGGTTTGTCAAATTATTTCATAGATTTGTATTTTTAACTTTGATTTATTCAATGTATCAATTTGTTATTAGTTGTATACATATTCATAATTTTTTTATAAATGTATATACTTCAGATCANATTTTTATAAATGCATATACTTCAGATCAAGTATCAGATTTAGAAGAGTCCTGGTCTGAGTGGTCAAACTGGAGCTCTTGTTCATCTGATTGTGGAGGTGGTAATCAAATAAAAACTAGAACATGTGAAGGTTCATCTGAAAACTGTGAAGGACCCGCTAAGTTAACTAGACCGTGTAATACACAAAAATGCAAAGGTAATTTGATAAAAATACTTAATCTAACCTCTTTAAGTTTTCTATAATATAATGCTATTTTTAGGTGAGTGGAGTTGTTGGACTGATTATGGTGAATGCTCAGTTACATGTGGAGAAGGTGTAAGAAAACGAACCAGGTTTTGTATGGTGAATGGTATAGCCGCAGAAGGTTGTGAAGGCTCATCAGTTAGCCAAGAACCATGTTATATGCCATGTGAAGCAATGGTATTTGGATGGGACAATTGGTCAGAATGGTCTGTTTGTGACATAGATAATCAAAAACACCGTACTCGAAAATGTTTATTGGAACAATGTTTAGGATCTGATGTGGAATCCATACCATGTTTTGATGCCAATGTTATTCGTAAGAAATTTAATAAGATTTTATGTATATTTCTTATAGATATTTATATTAAAATAAAAAAATAATTTTCTTATGTAGCAATTTATCTATTGGACTAAGCTAATTTTGTCCAATTTTTAAACCCTTTTCAAATATTCTTGTTACTGTAAAATTCATTTGGTCGTTTTTATAGAAAATATTTACCATTTAAAATATGATGAACTAAATATTCTCAAATAGTATCCTTATCAATACAGGGTAGTTATAAAGAAAATAATAATTATGTTAATTATTAGCTTTAATATTTTTTATTGAAATCCTGTTCCTAAATAGTTTGCACTAGATATCTTTTTTCTCTAAATAACTTTTCTTTTAATTTGTGGTTTTGCTAAAATATTTATTAGTTTAATAATATACTTTACAATTTTTAATTTTTTCACTAGGAAAACATTAACATTTTTAAATATATTTTTTCAGAAGTATCAAGTAGCTCTACATTGCTAATCTGTTTGTTGTCATTTATAATGGGAGCTTTACTGGCCTTTTTATCACTTTATGTGTGGATAAAACGACAAAAACCTAAACTTCCAAGTAGCCCTCATTATATTACTTCAAAGCAAAACCCGTATGTCACTGTTCCTATGAAGGATTATCGGTCTCCGGCTAAACGCACTCCATCATTTACTAAACCAGTAATAATTGGACAACAACAAAATGGAACATTGCCAAAATTATTTGCTAAACCAGCAGAATACGAGACTGCCACTATTAAAAGAAATAGCCATAGTTTAATAAATGGTCATATGAGGTCAACCCAGCATGATTTGGAACAAGAAAAATTCTTTTAATAAAATGGTTTATTAAAGCTCATTTAAGGGTTTTAAAAATTACTAGTCATTTTTAACAATAAAAATGTTTAAATAAATTTAATATACCTAATAAAAAAAAAGTGCAGCTATAAAATAATAATAATGATAATTTTATTTCAAATATAGAATAATTAGTTTTATTAACTGATAATTTTGAAAATAAATTAAAATAATTTATTTAAGATTTTGAGTCAATTTTATTTATTGAAGAATGTTTTATTTTATTAATTTTTTTGACTCATTAATACATTTAAAAAATGTGATTAATTATGTATTTAATTAAAGTTAAGTTAAATATTTAACAAATTAAATCAACATAATTTTTGAATCTCAAAAAAATACTTTGTTGACGTTTCACAATAAATAAGTTTTTTATTACCCCACTTATATTCATGGGGTTGGTCACTAAATAAATACCAGAATATGAAACTATCTGTCATAAATGAACTATTTTTTATTTAATTAATTATGACAATAACAAATGTGTTAAGAAATCAATCCATACTATCATATCTACTTGATATTAAAATTTATTATTTTTTTGTATTATGCTGTTAATAAATTAAGTATAATTTTATAATTATTGACTGAGTTGCATTGTTTTTTAGTTAAGTTAATGAAACTTTTGAACAAATTGTATCTTATACATATCCATAAGTAACTCATATTGAGTTAATTCAGAAATGTAAATAAGTAATTTTGTTTTATTGTATATACAATTTTTTTCACTTAAAAACTTGTTTATATCAATGCCTAGTGTATAAGTTTTCTGTAATTTATAATTTATTTAATTTTAAATTGTTATTTTTGTAATAGATATATAATTGTCTGACTTGTATTTGCAACAAAGAAAGATAAATTTACATTAGAAATACATGTATAATTAATATTGTAACTAAACAATTTATAGTTTTTATCTCATATATATTTTTAAATGTGTAATTAACATAAAAATATCTTTTACAAGTCTTATTATATGCAATAAGCATGGGTGTTCTCACTGTGAGTATATGGGGAATAGAATCCCCTACGATGAAAATAAATATATGATAATGATTTATTCTGGAATGATAGTAAAAACATATCTTATGTATATCTCCCCCAAGACGAAACCCTTAGATTGCCACTAACAATATAGTTCAAAATTAATTGAATCAGAAAAATCTTGGCTTATCAAAGTCAGTTTAATGAAAATTTTACACAATGAAATCTACTTGTTTACGTTTTGTAATAAGGTAACATAACCAATATTAGACATATTAAAAAATGTCATCATATCTCGATAGTCAGAAAGTAATACTTCATACACAACAATTTTTTTTTTAATTATTGTTCGTTCCACATAAATTATTTAAAAAACTTAATCAAATGTCTCGGAATTTGTTTTCTTCTGGGAGTATATTTACATAAAAACATTTTTCACTACTCTTCAAGCAAAAAAAAAAAATGAATTTTTACCAAAACAATAAATTTGTTCTGGAGAGAGATCTATCACTATATTCCTCCTTAATTACGACTCTAAAAAAGAAAGTTTTGTTTATTTCAATTATTTTAATGTTGGTTTTTTTTTTAATCTTATTTTACTAGAGCAATTTATTACCGTGATAATGGGTAATGGATGTCAGATAATTATTACATTACAAATATATAGTTTTTTTAATTTTAAATGGACAGAGACAGTGACAGATCAAACATTGATTTTGGTCGTGGACGTTCGTACGAATTAATATTCGAATTGGAAGGAGTCGTATTTTTAAGGTCTAAACTGATTTTTAGTTATTATAAATAACTATGATATTATATTGACATTGGCGTATTTCCAATATTTACGATTTAACTTAAAACCGGGAAAATTTTTCTACCTGAATTGGTTGTAGTAAGAAACAATTTGAGCCTAGGTGGCCATTTTTATTCATACGTAAACAAATTGCATTTTTTTGTTCAACATTGTATACCAGAAATAGGTCATTACATAAGATATTATGTTATATGAAAATACGTTTCAAAAATATGCGATTTCGACCCTTGTGGATTCTAATTTTTAGTTACGCTAGATGATTATAATAATAGGAGAATTCCAAATTTCAAATTATTTAGCCGTGAAAGTCCTTCTGGATGAACTACAGTGAGGGTTGCATTGAAATAAAATATTTTTATCATTGGTCACACTGAAAAACGATGACATCGGCACACGCATTTCAGATATCGACACACATTGTTATCACCGCTTTGCACAAACTCAACTGTTGGCACTTTTTAAACTAGTCTAGATTCTAATTTTGTATTGTGTTTGAATTTTACTTGTTAGTGATTTTAGTTTATTTTATAAAAACTCTACTATATAATTAAATTTAAATTACTTCTTAATTATTAAAACAAAATGAAATCGTATAGATGTATTTTATACGCTCTGTCTCTTTTTGCTATGACTTCTGCTGCTGCCGCAGCTTGTAAGTACACTGTAGATTCATACACGACTACTGATGCCATAATCGTTTCTGAAGCAGCCTTTATTGCTCAAATTTCTGTCGATTGTCAAGATGCTCCATCTAATTTATATGCTGAAGTTGAAGGTAAATTAATTGCTGCTGCTGATTTAGGACCTAACCGTTATCAAGTAAGTGAACTCATTTGATATATATTAATTAAATCTGTTATTATTGTAAGAAATATTTATTCAAGGTGAGTTGGTTAGATGACTTTAAAAAGGCACATCGTGGAGATTATGTTGTTAATTTATATGATGAAGCTGGCTATGGTCAATTGAGAAAATTGTTACGTGATGGTGAATCTACAAGCAGTGTCACACCAGTCCACACAGCATATGTTAGGTATCCTGGAGCATACAAAGGAGTATGGGTTAATTCTGAGTTTTTGGCAGCTCTTGTTAGTATGGTTGTATTGTACATTGCCTATACGTTCAAGTCCAAAATTGTATCATAATATATTACAGCAGAATTTAATTGAATCATTTTGAAGTCTGTTTTCTCTAAGTTATATTTTTAATGTTCATCCTATACATTAATTAAATATATAATAACAATTGAACTTGGTTTGTTTTTGTTATTAAATTAAATAGTTCTACATTAGTCTTAATATGTTCATTTATAAAAAAATTACACTAAATATATTTTATTTTTATAAATTAGAATTTCATTTTGTAATTTTATAATTTATTAAGGCTTAACAATTATTTACAAAATAGATGATTAGTAAAACATATTGTACATTTCCCATAAATTATAAATAGTTAATCAATAATCTTAAAGTATTAATTGTAAAAATAGAAATTTTTAACTTAGAGAATTGTCATAATTTTATTCACAACATATAATGGGATAATTAATATTTTACAACCTATCTTAAGTAGAGTACAGTTATTATTCAATGTTTTAAAATTTTGTTATGAAATATATATATATTTTTTTAAGTAAAAGATATAAAACTTAAATACATTGTTTATATATCAATATTGATCTAAACCTCGAACATACTTTATACAAAATAAAAAATTCAGTTATACTTTTCTTCAATAATTTGTATTTAATAAAAAAGTAATTAAAGTAAATTTCACTTTATTTTATTCAAGATTAAAACCATAAAGTTACTAATTTTTGTGATTGTAGCTATTGATTTATTCTTAGTTCTTACAATTTAAACAAAATATAATTTATATTATTGATAATCATTTTAATATATTTTTAAAATGTAAATTAATTAATTAAAGATAAATAATAAAAAATATTTTATAAAATAATATAATTAATATTTATAATTATATAAATGAGTTGAATAAAGTAATAATATAAGATAATATGGCATAACATTAATGGCTAGACCTTCCTATGTACATTTTTTTATAAAATAGACTTAGGTTATTAATTTTCATGATCTGTTTGCAGTTGACTTTGCCAATTATTATTACTCTTATAAAATACATTTCTTCCCAAATAAACATGTTATGATACATTTTGTTGTATGATATAATTTTATACATATATGTAAACTAAAAAAAATAGTTGTTTTGTAAATATTGTTTTATAAATTTTCAATGATCTTTTAAATTTTAAACCAATAATAAAATAAAAATTTAAACGTAGATATAAAGTACTGTCATTACACTGTAATGTAATAGTTTTATACAATGGTTAAACAATAGTATTTTAATTAAGTCCTTTATTAATATAGTTTTTGAAATCACACCAATGAAATAACATATATTAGCTTTTTAAAATGTATCTATTATAATAATTATTATATTTATCTAATTTAATATAAAAGTATTTATATATAACTCGTAATAACAAAACTTTAATTCATTACTTAATGTTTATATTCAGAAGTTACCAGTGAGTAAATACAAAGTGATGATGTATCAAAATTTATCATACTACTATTGAAGTTAATATAAATATTGAGATTTGAGATTATTTTGAAATGCATAGCTCAGCCCTGCTCTATTTAAATTAAAAATATGAAATCTGCTAAGATTAATACAAAAATACATCTAAATTTTTGAAACTGTTAGATTAAAATTTATTTTAGCTTCGATGCGAAGTTGAGAAGGTACTAATTTTACTATGATGCGTTTTTTTTTTGTGTCTGTTACCATTTTTCTCATCTTTCACAGGACCAATTTCTTTCAATGATACGTCAAAAGATCACAAATCGTATTTAGTCGAAGACATTACCCTTAAAAATTGAAAAAGATTTTTTTTCAAATTTTGAGGGTAATATCTTCAACTAGATACGATTTATGATCTTTTGACATATTTTTCATCAAAATCGGTTCAGTAAGAGCTGAGATTGAGCGTATACAGACAAAAAAAAAAACACATCATAGTAAAATTAATACCTTCTCAGCTTCGTATCGAAGCTAAAAGAAACCCAAATTATTTACATATTAACTAATAAAAAATGAACACATCAAACAAATTTTTATAAAATAAAATTATTAATTCTAAATATATAAGTATCCAAGTTATGACAAAAATTGAAAAAAAATAAAATAAAAATAATAGATTTTTGGTACAAATTTAAATATTAGTGTTTTTAATTACATAACTGTAAAAAAAAATTCAAATTGCACTTGGCAAGTAGTACATATCAAGTATATATATAAAATTTTCTATTTAATTTATTTAAGGAAATAATGTTATCAAACAATTAAACATAAAAACTGTTACATATAATTATGTTTTGGCAACTTAGGTAACAGTGCTTTCATAACAGCATCATAAAAGTTTTATAAATTGCACTGGAATTCAATTTTAATATTTCAACATATTAAGTTAATTAGGTAAAAGAAAAAATAGAAAGAAATTAATTGGTTAAACGTTAAAAAATTTAAATTTTAAAAAGCAAAAATTATATTTTCATAGTAGAGGAATATAACAAAGCAACATAATGCTAATTAAACCCCAACCTCTTTAATGTATTTTTACTAACTAGCCGTGATGTTCCGCCATCACCAGCCCATGTTTTAGACTTGGATCTAAATAATCTAAGTTCTTTTTTATGTGCTGGATCTAACATAGCTCGGTAGTTAGATGGCTCACACAAGTGCCTATATTTACTGAAAAATTTACAATAACCCCATCTAGCAAATACATTTCTGGATAGTCCAAATATGGATAGCACATACTATTATTCTCTCGATCAGCATTACGTAAATATCGTGATCTGAAAAATGTAAAAATAATTTTTAAAACTAAGTATATCATAGTTTCTTATGATATTAATGGAAACTATGACAGATGAAATTAAAAAAATTATA